CCACAACCGTAGCTATTGTGACATTTCTATATGTGGTATATGTGGCTGAGATCATGTGACTGTGGGGGAGAGTGGCAGCCATTTGGTGAGTGTGAGATTTTTAATCGTGACTGATCACATGTAGAAACTTGGATCTACTGGTAAATGTCACTGTCACCCGGAGCAAGGCAGTACTTGAAGCCTTTGCTGTGACATGTTAAGGGGGGGAGAGGCTGTGACTGAGATTGGATGTGACAGCAAGACAGATCCTGAGTGACAGAATGGAATGGAGTGGAGGGAGGCAGGCTGCACCAGGCAAAGGTGTGTCCCCAACAGGGGCTGCCTGGGAGTTCAGATGTCAGGGCAAGTGTCTGTACTGTCTCCTCCCCAGCAGACTTCCCTCCCTACTTTCTGAAAGCAAGGAGGAGAGGAGGGGGCTTTCCTCTTGGAAAGGAGATTTTGATCAGAGTGTAGAATCTACAATACCTAAGAAGTTAATGCTTAAGAGCCTTGGTGGGTATCACCACCCAAGACTCAGGAAAAGAACCTGCAGGTACTGTGTGTGAAACGGGTAGAAGTTAGACTGGCTTCTCCTCTCAGCTTTAGTCTTCAGAGTGGCCGATAAAAACAGAATTGAAACCTAAGCATTCCTTCCTCCTCTCCGTCCCCTGGGGGAGGGAAGAGAGAATAAATGCCACATCTCATTAAGCTTTTACGAGCTCAGGCAGGCAGAGTGGACTCACACCGGAGGCAGGCAGAGGGCTGGGGGAGGCTGCAGGAAGGATTCCCCAGCTCTCTCAGGGAAGATGTGTTCCAGAACTTAGAGGCTGGCTCCACAGAAAATGAAATAAGGGTTAACAGATGTGGGAGTAACCGCTGCTTTTATTAACATCAGAAGGGCAACAGTACAGGAAGTTGGGTAGATGTGGGGACAATAGAGACTGTGAGAGGCAGGACTGCAGATCTATGGAAATTGCCTGGAAAAGTCAGCTGCAAGGCATGAGAATCCTGAAGGTATAAGAGAGAAGGGAAAGACTCCTCTTTAATCTTATGGAGCTGAAATGAGGAGATCTTAAACATGAGTGAGAACTCTGTTGCCCCAAACTAAACTGACTTTAAATCCAAGGTATAAAACACTGGCATGGGCCAGGCACAGTGGCTTATGCCTGTAATCCCAGCACTTTGGGAGGACGAGGCAGGTGAATCACCTGAGGTCAGGAGTTCAAGACTAGCCTGATCAACATGGAGAAACCCCACCTCAACTAAGAACACAAAATTAGCTGGGTGTGGTGGCACATGCCTGTAATCCCAGCTACTCGGGAGGCTGAGGCAGGAGAATCGCTTGAACCTGGGAGGCGGAAGTTGTGGTGAGCCAAAATTGCGCCATTGCACTCCAGCCTGGGCAACGAGAGTGAAACTCGGTTTCCAGCAAAAACAACAAACCACTGGTATGGATATTAGTTTGAATAGGAAAAATGAGAACTCTCTTTGAGCTCAAAAAAATCGAAGAATTAAAACCTTGATTAAGGCTGCACAATGATCCAGAGTGTAGGGATGGGAGAGAGAATAAATACCCTAGTGACCCACATATAAAACACTACAAATGAGAACGAGACTTGAGGTTAATGGAAGGTCATCTTGCCCATGCTGCCAGGGGGCCAACAGTGCCACAATGCCACATGGGCATTAACGCACACTGCATACCCTCAGTCCCTGCCTGGTTGGAGGGTATGCAGATCACACAGCAGAGCTGCTTAGGCTGAGGCAGACAGGGAACACCCGCTGCTAATGCAGTGGGAGGCAGGGATGGGGAGCCTGGCCCTGGCTTTGGGAGTGTAGAAAGGCAGGCAGCAGGGAAATCAGGCTGCTGGAGCAGTGCCTGTAAGATTGGGGTGACCATGGGAGGGCAGTAGCAGATACAAGAGTAGTGGCCTTCCCAGGCCAAGGCCCATGCTCTACCATCTGGCAGGAAAGCCAGTGGTTTATCATGCATGATAAAAGCCACACAGTTGGACTCTGGGCAAGGCCCACTTTGGCCAATTAGAAGATACACTGTGGCCAGGCAGGCAGGCTCCTCCCAGCTGGGGAAGGGGTGAGAATCCCTGGGCTTTGCCCAGTCCTGAGCTCTAGGTGTCTGCAGAGAAGCGCAGTGGTGAGTTAGTGTTAAAGAAAGCATCCAGTGAGGCAAGAGGGGCTTGGGTAGCACCCTTTGCCTCTGTCACTTCCGCAAAAACTTCTTGTTGAGGAGGAAGATAAGAAGGTTGACATTGACTTTGGCCTTGTTGAAAAGTTTCATGACAGCCACGCCCTCATACTGGAGCTGCAGGAGGTCCTAGGAGGGAAGAGGCAGGGAGGGGAGTTTAAGGGGTTCTGAATGTGGTCTAGCCAGGCAGTGTACAAAACACTCACATCATGGGGCCTTCTGCAGTCACCAGTGGCACTGGCCACTGAAGCAGGGCACTGAAACCCCACTTCACAAATGAAGAAACTGAGGCAAGAGAGGTACAGTGACTTGATCAAATGTCAATTCAAGCAGAACTAGGGCTTGACATCATTTTTCTTTTCTCTTTTTTCTTTGTTTTTTTTTTTTTGAGATGGAGTCTTGCTCTGTTGCCCAGGCTGGAGTGCAGTGGCGTGATCTCAGCTCACTGCAACCTCCGTCTCCTGGGTTCAAGTGATTCTTCTGCCTCAGCCTCCCAAGTAGCTGGGATTACAGGCATCCGCCACCATGCTTGGCTAATTTTTGTATTTTTAGTAGAGACAGATTTCACCATATTGGCCAGGCTGGTCTTGAACTCCTGACCTCAGGTGATCCGCCTGCCTTGGCCTCCCCAAGTGCTGGAATTACAGGCGTGAGTCACCGTGCCCAACTGAAATCATTTTTCTTATTCAAAAGACAAAACACCAGAGCAAAAAGATTTGGATTTAAAACCACTGCTTGGCTGGGTTTGGTGGCTCACACCTGTAATCCCAGCACTTTGGGAGGCTGAGGTGGGCGGATCACAAGGTCAGGAGTTCAAGACCAGCCTGACCAACATGGTGAAACCCCGTCTCTACTAAAAATAATTAAAAAAAAAAATTAACTGGGCATGGTGGTGCATGTCTGTAATCCCAGCTACTCGGGAGGCTGAGGCAGAATAATCGCTTGAATCTGGGGGGTGGAGGTTGCAGTGAGCTGAGATCTCCAGCCTGGGCAACAGAGCAAGACTTCATCATCACACACACACACACACACACACACACACACACAGTTTTCCTGAACACTGGCCTATGACTTTAGGCCAGCTTCTTAAACTTTTTGCCTCAGAGCCTGTAAAATAGGGATAATACTTCAGAGCTGTGGAGAAGATTAAAGGAGGTAACATGTAAAGTCCCTGACATGTGATAGGGTTTCAAATATTAATCCTGCTTCTGACACCAGTGGCCTACTCCAGTCTCCCTGATGCTTGGTGGTGGGGTGTCAGGGTATGGGGAAAGGGGGCCTTGGGCTGCACAGACCCCCATTCTTCTCTTCAGGAACAGAAGATACTGATCGGGTGAAGAGCTGAGCTGGTGTCATCTGAGGACTAGGGAAGTGAGGCCAGCTGCTCTCTTCAGGCCAGCACCTAAAGCCCAGCAGGTGTCTTGTAGGTTCATGGAACTGTCCTCTCACCTGATAGTGAAGCTGGAATCGCTCCATGTCCACACCCAGGAACTTGGCATTTACTTCAAACTTTCCTGCCTCTTCTCCCGGGGTGATGTCAAAGATGACGTTTCTGAAGCTGTCAGGAACCAGATTCAAAACAGGAACCCACTGCCTCTTCCCAGGGCTACAGCCACACTCTTGCACCCACTGCTCCTCATCCCGGGCAGCAGTGTTATCCGGAGCCAGCTTTCCCCTCTGTCACTCCAGAGGGCCCAGCGCGCTGTCTCCTCCCAGTTTTACTTCTGCTCCTGTCTTTACCTGCCCCGCCCTACCCAGCTGTTCTCACCTCTCCAAAGCTTTCCCAGTACCCTCTGCCTGAGGGCACCTAGAATTGTGCTAGACCATGTCCATGGCGCTTCATGTTCTGTCTGGGCATGCTCTGTCTCCACCATCATTCTAGCAACTCCTCCAAGGCCGGGACCGCTCCTCCTTCCCTTCCACCCAGTGTCCAGCCCAGAGTTCCACCCCCAGGTTAGAGGACAGGCAGGGGCTGACATCCTGCCCTCCAAAGACACCTACTGAGAGGCGGGAAGATCTTCGATTTCCACCAAGACCCCCTTTTCCAGGAGCTGAGCAGCAGTGTAATGAAGAGAAGGCTGTTTCTTCCCCTTCCCAGAACTCCTGATTAAAAGAAGGCCCCAGAGAATTCATCCCACAAACTCTTTACCACCAAAGACACTCATTCCCTGTGGCTGGAAAGGAAATGAGACCCCGAGGAAGACTTCTCCCTGATGGAAGACAGAGGAGGGGGATTGCACTTGAGCCCAGGACTTTGTAAGTGAGGCTCAAAGACCAGACTTAGGAAGGAACTACGCTGTGTTGGCTGAGATTCCCCTTTCAAAGCTGGGAGATGGTGAGGCAAAGGTGACATGGGCAGAGGTGAGAAGTCACACATAACCTTCTGAGTGCAGGAAAGCAGCACCTACTTGGAGTCGGGGGCCAGGTGGTCCAGGCAGGCCCGGATGTACTGGCTGTAGTAGTCCCCCTGTTCCTCATAGAAGGTGGTCTTAGTGCTCAGGCCCTGTAATGTGGCCTGAAGCTTCACCCGCTCCGCTTTCCTCCTGTGCCTGTGTCTGTGCTGGTTGCGGATGTCCTGGGGTTGGGGAACAGTGGGAGGGATGAGTGTTCCTTCCTGGCAGGAGAGCCTTAGGGCCTGACACAGGCCCAAGAACTACACACTGTGAGGCTCTTCAGAAGAGCAGGCTTCAATATTGTTTTCCTAGAAGGACAATCTCAAGGATGGTATCTCAAATCCTCAAAGCACGTCCTCAGGGCCTCTTCCCATTGAAGACTGAGTTCAAGACTCTTTGTTTTTTAGAACAAGAAAGTCGCAAGGATACTTTTGTAGGTCCTAAGCAAAGGATCGGGTTTTCATGCTCATGTGTGAGGTCTGCCTCCCTCAAACCTTCTGATCTGGGCACGTACCTGGCTAATGTGGAAAAAAAAAAAAAGAGAGAGAGAGAGAGTTGCAAGAACACCTCCTCCCTAATTTCAAGATCTTACCTTCAGGGCAGGTGTGGTGATTTGATTCACACCTGTAATCCCAGCACTTTGTAGTAGCCCAAGGCGGGCAGATTACTTGAGGTCAGGAGTTTGAGACCAGCCTGGCCAACATGGTAAAACCCTATCTCTACTAAAAATACAAACATCTGGCAGCCAGGTGGAGTGACTCACACCTGCAATCCCAGCATTTTGGGAGGCCAAGGTGGAAAGACCCTGAGATCAGAAGTTTGAAACTAGTCAGGCTAACACGGTGAAATCCTGTCTCTACTAAAAATACAAAAATCAGCCAGGCATGGTGGTGGGCAGCTGTAATCCCAGCTACTCGGGAAGCCTGAGGCAGTAGAATCGCTTGAACCCAGGAGATGAAGGTTGTAGTTAGCCAAGATTGCACCACTGCTCTCCAGCCTGGGTGACAGAGCAAAACTCTGATTCAATTAAAAAAAAAAAAAAAAAAAACTGGCTTCGCACAGTGGCTCACGCCTATAATCCCAGCACTTTGGGAGGCTGAGGCGGGCGGATCACAGGGTCAAGAGATCGAGACCATCCTGGCCAACACGGTGAAACCCCGTCTCTACTAAAAAAATACAAAAATTAGCAGGGCATGGTGGCACATGTCTGTGGTCCCAGCTACTCGGGAGGGTGAGCTGGAAGAATCGCTTGAAGCCAGGAGGCGGAGGTTGCAGTGAACTGAGATTGCGACACTGCACTTCAGCCTGGGGACAGAGCAAGACTCCGTCTCAAAAAAAAAAAAAAATCTTTCCTTCAAAAATGACCCTGGCTGGTGACAATTTGGGGTGGGCACTCATCAGGGAGGGGCCTGCCAACACTATGGATCAACCTGTACATGCACACACATACACATGGGCACACAGAGCCCAGGCCCAGGTCGTTACCTTGGCCAGGTCGTCCACTAGCCCCTGGTAGCCATTGCTGGCGCTGACCAGCCCCAGGCCTTCAAGTCGGCGCAGGTTCCGCAGGACGCGCCGCTGCTTCTCTGCCAGTGGCAGGAGGGAGTGAGCTGTCAGTGAGCGGTGTCGTCGCAGTGGCTCCGGGGTCTGGGCTGCACAGGCCTGGCGTTGGCTCATCAGCTGCTTGTGGGCTGCTTCCTGGGGACACAGAGATGCTAGAGGGGTCTACCAGGACCTACCTTTCTGTCCCCACACCAGTGAAGGCCCCAAGGGCACCAACAACTAAGGGAGGCCTGAACATTTTTCTGTGTGTCATTAAGAAAGTGCCCTAGAACCCAGCCTCTGCAGGGTATGGCTGGGCAGGGCATAGCTTAGGAAGACAATAAAGGTATAACATCATAACACACGGTGTCACACATGGGAGGGCCTCGTGGATCACCACAGGGGAGGAGAGGCCCAAAGGAAACCCAAACTGAAGCTGGGGATTCCAGACAGACACCAGCAGTGACTTCCCAACAATGGACCTTTGTGATGGCACAGGGTGTTTGAGGCATTTCCCTTTCTGTTCTGTTTTGGGATATCCCTCTAGCGGCCATCCCCACTTTTTCTCTGGGAAGACCTGGGTTCAGTCTTCACTCCAGCTGGCCCGACCTGCCCCTGGCCCCCACGTGTCTACCACCTTCTGCCTCCAGGCCTTCTAGCGGACCACTCTTTTCTGAGTGCAGGCTTTCCAGGGGAGCCTTCCCAGATGGCCTCTCAGCGCTCCCCATGGCCCTAGTGTTGGCGCTGGATTCGGCGTGTGCAGTGGGGAGACGGGTGGGGCCCCATGACCCTGCAGCCTGAGGCTTCCCGAAGCTAAGGCCATGCCCCTCACCCTGTAGGCCTCCAGAGTTCTCATTACTGGTGAACACAGGTGTCTGCTTCTGGCCGACTGTGGGTGAGGTTCAGGGGAGGGAAGCGGCGGTGCAGGCAGGGTGAGGCAGGCGATGAATGAGACAGAACCTGTGGGCTGGCCCGGCCACTCACCTGCTCTCTGGAAGCCGAGAAGGACAAGATCTCCTTGAGGGTGTCCCCAGGATGGAACTGTATGATGTCCACCAACAGCTGCTTGGTGCTGCACAAGGAGGGCAGGAATGGAGGAGAGGTGAGGGGCAGAGGCAGGGCCTGGACATGGGACTGGCCAGAGGTCTGAGAATGAATGGATCCTGCTCTATAGCATGGCTGCTAGGAGGTAAGGAGAGAGCGAGAGGGATGGGGGATGACGCTGCCTAGAATACCCTCCACACAAACTATCTTCCTTTGAGTCCTTCAGCTGAGCACACAGGTCCTCCCTGCCCAGCCATCACTTCTCCCTAGCTCTCAATGCATCTGACACCCATCACCCTCTTGGTGGTGCTCTGACTGTGTTCAGCCCTAGCCCAACCCTGCTCTCAGCCCTTTGATGGCAGGACAAAGACGATACTTGGCTCACTTGTTTATGAGTGAATTAACGGGTGGAAGGGGTTTCCTTGTTGGCAGGGACCTTGAGCTGGTACTTTGGCTCCTCATCTGCCCAGATGAGCAGCCCAGCCCTTCTCAGTTTTGCAGAACTGGGGAAGAAAAAGCTCAGGCCTATCTCCTAACCATCACACTCAACAAGAATGTGGAATTATGCCGGGTGTGGTGGCTCACACCTGCAATCCCAGCAATTTGGGAGGCCGAAGCAGGCAAACCACCTGATGTCAGAAGTTCAGAACCAGGCTGGCAAACATGGTGAAATCCCAATTCTACTAAAAATACAAAAATTAGCCAGGCACCTGTACTCCCAGCTACTCGGGAGGCTGAGGTAGGAGAATCGCTTGAGCACAGAAGGCAGAGGTTGCAGTGAGCTGAGATTGTGTCACAGCACTCCAGCCTGGGCAACAGAGTGAGACTCCATCTCAAAAAAAAAAAAAAGAATGTGGAATTAGAACCTGCTCTACAACCCACTGGCTGTGAAACTTTGGACAAATCACGTAACTCCTGAGTCTTTCCTCAACTATGAAGAGGGGAAGTCACCATCTATCTCATAGCTTGTTCCTGAGAGTAAGCGGTAACATATAAAAAGCATTTGGGGCCGGGCGCGGTGGCTCAAGCCTGTAATCCCAGCACTTTGGGAGGCCGAGGCGGGTAGATCACGAGGTCAAGAGATCGAGACCATCCTGGTCAACATGGTGAAACCCCGTCTCTACTAAAAATACAAAAAATTAGCTGGGCATGGTGGTGCGTGCCTGTAATCCCAGCTACTCAGGAGGCCGAGACAGGAGAATTGCCTGAGCCCAGGAGGCGGAGGTTGCAGTGAGCCGAGATCGTGCCATTGCACTCCAGCCTGGGTAACAAGAGCGAAACTCCGTCTCAAAAAAAAAAAAAAAAAAAAAGCATTTGGGCCAGGCGCAGTGGCTCAAGCCTGTAATCCTAGCACTTTGGGAGGCTGAAGCAGGTGGATAGCTTTGAGGCCAAGAGTTTGAGACCAGCTTGGACAACATGGCGAGACTCCGTGTCTACTTAAAAAAGAAAAAATGAAAAAAGCACTTGGTAAACAGTACAATATGCAAACACCTGCTGTTGCCAATATCTTTGCCATTCTTTTATCTTCAGTACAACACAGCGCAAAAAGCTGAGGATGCCAGGTGGAAAAGAGCCAAGGCTGTTGCGAGGGGAATAAAGGTAGGCTTCAGGAAGAACTTCCTGAAGGATAAGGGAGCCCAGGAAGGTGGAATGAGTCCCTCAGAGTAAGGCTATTTTACCAGCCTCAGGGCTGGGGAGCTCAGGTAGGGAGGGGCAGAGGCCAGCGTCACCCACCTCAGAAGCAGGTTACGTGTGTTGGAGTCATCGGTGTCTGCCTCTAGTCCTTCAAACTTGTTGGTCAGTGTCAGGGACACTTCTAGTTTGCTCAGGTCTGTGTGCCCACCTGCAGCAATGCTCTCCCCTGAGGTGTGGTGAGGAATGAGAGGGAGACAGGCATACACACACACACACACACACACACACACACACACACACACGCATGCACGTACACACAGATGGGGTCACGTTAAATCGGCTGCTCCACATGCCCCTCTTCCAGGAAGTTTTCCCACACGGGTCCGCAGAACCACCCTGTGCCCACAACCCTTAGCACTGATGGAAGGGCTGTTAACCAGAGTACCCTTGCGTTACTGGGGCTGTGCCACCCCTACACCCTCAGCCCTGGGTGCTCTGAGGGTAGAGGAGCCATGCCCCCTGAGCCTGCAGCTCCTGGCTCTTTCCAGTCACCATCTTCATTCTGTCCTTCTTCCCAGTAAGTCGGCTTCCTCCTATTCCATGGCCCGGAAACCCCTCCTCCTCAGCCAGACCTAACGAGACCCTTATCCCTGTGTCTCCTGCACATCCTTTAATTGGCCATTTACATGATGATCATGGGTCCCTCTACTGTCTACCTTCTCCACATCAATCTGTGTTCCTGTGCCCATGTCAGGATCAGAGAGAGAGTGTGGAGCTAGCTGCCTGGCACAAGACCTAGACTGCATGGGCACGCTCCCATTTGCTGTTGGTCTGCCTGTCTCTCCCTCCCTACAGGCCCCCCAGCTGGCCCCAGCTGCCAAGGGGGGCACACACCGATAAGGTCAGGGATGGTGGGCAGCTCCCCGAGGTCGTCCAGGAGCTCATGCAGGGGGTCTTGGTGATCGGGGGCAATGCAGTCCTGGTGCTCCAGCAGCAGCTGCAGGACGGAGGAAGAAAAGGAGGTGCAGGGTCTGAGCCAGGCTCCCCCTTGGGCCAGCCTACTACCCTGTCATGGGCTACCAAACCCCCGCCCACCCAGCCAACACCCTGCAGATCACAGCCCTCACCCTGTGCGTGTTGACTAGCTCCCCCACGGTGATGTACACCACGGGTTTGGCCACAGCCACCATGTCTGAGTACTCGTCTACTGCAAAACGCTCCTCTGGCTCTGGCACCTGGCAGGCTCTATGGATGAACTTCCTGTCCGGAGGGAGGGCATGAGAGTGAGGAGGGCCAGCACCCC